AAACCACTATAAATACTCTATGCAATCATCCACTTATCCCAAAATCCTATTTCCTAGAGTTTTGAAACTCAAACTGAACTACATCTAATTGTTTAGTACATTTTGCATTCACATCATTACTCAATCGTGTTAAGAACATCACCAGAGTTAAACCAAATTCAATATGAGACTAATCAAAAAAATAATATTTGGCAAAAATTTTCGACAGTCGAGTTGGACTTAGACAAAAAAAAAATTCAACCCAATTTAAATTAGAGCAATACTCAAGTTACGATTTCTCGGGTTTAGTTCGACTAGGGATGCAATTTGGATGGGCCAACTAGAGCCCAATCGGAAAAAAAATAGGGTTTAGGTTAAAATTTTTAATACTTGGATTGAGTTTGGGCAAAAAAATTCTAACGCGAATTGAATTCGGACAAGCCTTGAGTTGNAACATAACAGATGTTTACAATTGGGACAATGTGAAATAATCAAAGTAGTTGAGTGGGCAATGTGAAAATTCAATAGATGATGGAGAAAAGTGAAACGAGTCATAATTGAGGAGGTCAAAATATAATTTACCCTCACTAAATCCCCTATTGTGATCAGATTAATACGTAATGATGTCCAAATTTGCACCCATTAATAATTCGATGATAGCAGAAGTCCAACACAGCTTGTCAAGGATCTACAATGTATTGGCAGGCATCAAGATCTTCCTTCTTGGTCTTATTAATACTATGGTAAAATAACAATGTATTGACATCAAGTCCTTGCAACCCCCCCCCCCCCCNACCTCGAACTCAGACGTTAACCGCGTCCTGAGGAAGGCAGTGAAAAGGACAGTTGGATCCCACTGAGTACCTCTCCTTGTGGCGATAGTCACTCAGCAGGTACAAATCCGCTACAGTCATTGCGCAATATAGACGACCGTTACAAGAGAAGGGTGAGGATCTCATCTCAGATCAAACTAGGTCCAAGGATAACTATAAATAAGAAGCAAAACCTCGAAAATAAAGGACAAGTGATTGCAGCACCACCAAAATACTCTCTGTAAACTCTATAGCAATCAATATATTCAAGAGCAAGAGACTCCCTTGAAAGTAGATTAGGCAAACTCCCGAATTGGTAAACCACTATAAATACTCTATGCAATCATCCACTTATCCCAAAATCCTATTTCCTAGAGTTTTGAAACTCAAACTGAACTACATCTAATTGTTTAGTACATTTTGCATTCACATCATTACTCAATCGTGTTAAGAACATCACCAGAGTTAAACCAAATTCAATATGAGACTAATCAAAAAAATAATATTTGGCAAAAATTTTCGACAGTCGAGTTGGACTTAGACAAAAAAAAAATTCAACCCAATTTAAATTAGAGCAATACTCAAGTTACGATTTCTCGGGTTTAGTTCGACTAGGGATGCAATTTGGATGGGCCAACTAGAGCCCAATCGGAAAAAAAATAGGGTTTAGGTTAAAATTTTTAATACTTGGATTGAGTTTGGGCAAAAAAATTCTAACGCGAATTGAATTCGGACAAGCCTTGAGTTGAGGCATTGAGTTGTCGAGTTAAACCCGAATATTAAAATTGGGTTGAACCCGAATATTAAAATTGGGTTGAACCCGATTATTAAATCGGGTTGAATCTAAATATATATAAATATATTTAACTAGAGTTAGTATTTATCCTCACTTTTTAGAGTTCAAACTTTTACTTCACTACAAGTTTTCACCCTTGCGCTTCAATCACTATTAAATCCCTCTCTCACTTATCACTCGTCTCTCATCTGGTCTCAGACTTTCAGCCTCCCTCTCTCCCTTGTCTGTGTCACGTCTCNAATTCAAACTTTTACTTCACTACAAGTTTTCACCCTTGCGCTTCAATCACTATTAAATCCCTCTCTCACTTATCACTCGTTTCTCATCTGGTCTCAGACTTTCAGCCTCCCTCTCTCCCTTGTCTGTGTCACGTCTCGTCTGAGATCCTTAGTGTCCCTATCTCACTCGTCCCTCTTNAACTCACCTTTTAAATTACAAACCTCGAACTCAGACGTTAACCGCGTCCTGAGGAAGGCAGTGAAAAGGACAGTTGGATCCCACTGAGTACCTCTCCTTGTGGCGATAGTCACTCAGCAGGTACAAATCCGCTACAGTCATTGCGCAATATAGACGACCGTTACAAGAGAAGGGTGAGGATCTCATCTCAGATCAAACTAGGTCCAAGGATAACTATAAATAAGAAGCAAAACCTCGAAAATAAAGGACAAGTGATTGCAGCACCACCAAAATACTCTCTGTAAACTCTATAGCAATCAATATATTCAAGAGCAAGAGACTCCCTTGAAAGTAGATTAGGCAAACTCCCGAATTGGTAAACCACTATAAATACTCTATGCAATCATCCACTTATCCCAAAATCCTATTTCCTAGAGTTTTGAAACTCAAACTGAACTACATCTAATTGTTTAGTACATTTTGCATTCACATCATTACTCAATCGTGTTAAGAACATCACCAGAGTTAAACCAAATTCAATATGAGACTAATCAAAAAAATAATATTTGGCAAAAATTTTCGACAGTCGAGTTGGACTTAGACAAAAAAAAAATTCAACCCAATTTAAATTAGAGCAATACTCAAGTTACGATTTCTCGGGTTTAGTTCGACTAGGGATGCAATTTGGATGGGCCAACTAGAGCCCAATCGGAAAAAAAATAGGGTTTAGGTTAAAATTTTTAATACTTGGATTGAGTTTGGGCAAAAAAATTCTAACGCGAATTGAATTCGGACAAGCCTTGAGTTGTCGAGTTAAACCCGAATATTAAAATTGGGTTGAACCCGAATATTAAAATTGGGTTGAACCCGATTATTAAATCGGGTTGAATCTAAATATATATAAATATATTTAACTAGAGTTAGTATTTATCCTCACTTTTTAGAGTTCAAACTTTTACTTCACTACAAGTTTTCACCCTTGCGCTTCAATCACTATTAAATCCCTCTCTCACTTATCACTCGTCTCTCATCTGGTCTCAGACTTTCAGCCTCCCTCTCTCCCTTGTCTGTGTCACGTCTCGTCTGAGATCCTTAGTGTCCCTATCTCACTCGTCCCTCTTCTCTCTTTTATCGACCAGAATTAAATAATCCGAATCTGCCTGAATTAAACTCAGGCAGTACTCAAGTTGAGGTAGGATTAGAATTAGAGTTAGAATTAAAAATTATATACCTAGAGTTTAGTTAAAATTGACCTCTCAATCCCGTCCGAGTTGCACCCCTAATTTCGACCCTATGCCGAATTGATGAAATCGACTTTTAACCAAGTGTAGAATAAAATAACAGGCGACTGTGGGGTTAATCCATTCCAATCACAGGCCAAAAAGTTAGTGTTAAGATTCTGAGTTTGAACCTAATTATGCTCTAATGTACACATGTAACCAGATGCAAAATATAAAAGGGTTGTACCTTCAAAAAATTTTAATTTCTCATTTTATATTTTAAAGATTAAAATTTTTACATAATATCCTCAATATATTAAAATTATTATAATGTAATCATTTTATTAAGTTTTCATTAGTTTTGTGTTAATAGGTTGGCTTTTAATAAAAAAATAATTGAAATTAACAAAAATATTATATTGCAACACTTTTAATACATTAAAGACTCGTTTGATAGACGTATTATGAGGGGATTAAGTATTGAATTGTATTATTTTTTATTTAATCGAACATAATATTTTATTTGGTAAACAAATTTGATATCATATTAATATCAAAAACGTATACTTATAATATATTTTTTATACGATAGCCCTGTATTATGGAAGTATTTTAATACCACTAAAAAATGTGGTATTATAATCCAGTTCAAACGTATTGTTCTACACATTTACTATTATAACCCTTTAACTGAAAAATCAAATTGTCATCGATGTAATAAACATTGATTGAAGATATTTTTGTTAATTCAACATTAATACGATGAAATAATTTTATAACCAAATAATCAATTGGATTAAACAACTATTATCTAACGTTTATATTGTGTATTGTCAAACACTAGATAAAATTACGTATTATTCTAATACCTTATTTAATTTTGTCTTTTGTCATTCCGTATTATATTAGACTCGATTATTCTGTCTAATACATCCATTTTTAATACGGCAATCAAACGAGCCATAAGCGTATAAAACGGGGATCTTAAAATCTTTTAGAATATAAAATTAAATTAAAAAAACGCCATTTTTCTATTTATATTAAAGAGTAATCTTAACTTGCATCCTGATAGGCTATGAACCATGGATACTTCGTTGAAGTTGACGTACTCGTATTCGATACCGTATCGGATACGATACTCGTCGGATACTCAAAGATACGTATCAGATACACTTTTTATGTATCCAATAATAATTAAATATTATGATATTTCATGAATACTTTTGTGGTCGAGCAATATATATAATTTTTGAATTGAATTTTTAACATCTCTTTTTGAATTTACATACCATACAATATATTAACAAAAATATTCATATTACATCAAAGGCACATAAGTATTTCTTAAGTATTATTTTACAATTATATGTCAAAAGATCATAAAATAAAATTATTATATTATTATTTTAGCAAAAATTACTACTAAATATTAGGTTAATATTAGTTTTGATTCTTTTAATTAGTCACTTCATTTTGTTAATATATTACAAGGATACAATATATATTTTTTTAAAACTAAAAAAAATTATTAATTTTTCTTATTGTATATTATAGAATTACCAAAATATATAAGTATTAAGTTGGTTAAAAATAATAAAATTATATAAATATATTTTATTTTAGATATATCTATATCTTATTTTTTTAAAATTTATCATATTATTACATCCGTATCGCATGGTACCCGTATCTGATGATATTGATATCTGTGATTCATAGCTTAGAGGTAATTTAGCTTTTAGACTATATAAAAGCAGGATGGTCGTACGGGCTTGGCCTCCTTCGCGAAAGTCTGAAAGGGTGCTTAACCCGAGACGTTGCAAAACTATATACCCAACGAGAGAGAGAGAGAGAGAGACAGGAAGCTTCGACACATACTGAACAATGGAAGTCTCTTTTCAACAGAACTTCAATAATTTTCACTTATACCCCCACACTTCACTAGGCAATCTCTGTAAGTCTTGCTCTGTGAAAAACTCTCTCTTCAACATGCATTCGCTTAATTATATTTCTCTTCAATGATCAGGTAGGATGGAAGCTAGGTTTCTCTGCCCGTCGTCTCTTCAACCGGTGAATTTTAATTCCTTTTTTCTGTTTTTTTTTTCAATGAACTTTAGCTGATTTGCCTAATTTTATTTGATTCTATATTATTGCTTGGCTTTCTTTTTTCCTTCGATGTTTAGTAATTTATCTGACTCACAATTGCCAAAATAAAATTTCGTTTTTGCTATAGATCGAGGTAGAAATTTCTAAATTCGAGAAAATTGGACTGAGAAGACTTCATAATGGAGGGAAGTTGGAACTCTTACTATCTACATAATGATTAGTGTAAAGTGTTAGGCATTTTTCACTAGAAGCACCAACTTGTGAATTAAGGGAATCGGTTGTGAATTAATGGAAATGTATTTCGCCAATTGTAGAATCAAACCAAAGCTTTGTTCTTAAACGTTGATTTGTGTCTCCTAGTGACTTGGTGTGATGGATCCTTGGCACCCCAACATCTGGGGATTCTATAGTATTCTTTTCACCAGCACACGCATGCCTCGAGAAGTAATGGGCAATGCTCTCCCATCGTTCCTTCAAGAAGGTCCTAAGGAATTTTTCAAATGAGGATGTATATTTTTTTGTTAGAAGTAGGTAGGAAGAGACACTGGTTTTTCATTCCTGTATATGTATATCAGAAAGGGGGCTGACTAATCATATATAGGTAAAAACAGTTGAGTTAGTTAACTAACTCCAACAGTTAGGGCCAAGAGCAAAACAAAGGCCCAAACAAAGACTATGTGTTCAAAATTGAAACATATGGGCCTAATAAAGTAAATGTTTTGAATCAAACAAATATAAACCTGACATTACGCCTTTGGGTCAACTTTTTTGCTGTGTTGATGGAGATGAAAGTAAATGATTTTTTTCTCTTTTTTGTTTTCTTCAGTTGATGACACAATTAAGCCATATAAACCATTACAAGTGTGAAAAATGGTCAAATCAAACTACATGTTCTTTGTGAAAAGTCATAGTCGTAGGCGTATCCCAACAAATGTGGGATACCTCTACTCGCTGTTGTATATACATGTTTGATGCTACGACATCAAATTGCATCGTATTTGATTCAATTCCCTAATCAATTTTGATCATATTGTCAAAGCTGCAAAGCTCTTGGTTACCTGACTATTCACTTATTTGATCAAAACCCTAGATTGGTGTGTTGTTATGAGGATGATCAACTCTTCGCCAATGATGGTGTTATTAATACTCCAATGACTCAATCGTGTTGATGTCGTCGATTCAATCATTACGTAGAAGACAAATGCAAGCCCTGCTATCAACACTATTGCCGTCAATTTTATCAGAGTGAAGGTGGGGTTGCCTTCCAAAGTTCTTCACGGCTATTTTATCCTATGCCAATATGTCGGGATGGAAAATCTAAAAATAGACAAGGAATGACTCAAGCCTTTACATCTGTAAATCTTTTAGATATCCATTACTAATCAAAGAAAGGGAGGCTTTACAAGGTATTCATTCAATGGTATTGAATGCATTAAATGTATACTTACTATATGAAAACTATTGTCGTCTTTGAACTTTTTGGGAGGGTAAGTATCTCTTTGGACTTTGGGTCACATAAGGAAGTAGAAGATCGGTTAGATGGGGGGTTTTGAGTTCTTCAAACTCTTCATATTTCTTTGAACTCCATCTAAGCAGTTCATGTGCCCACAACTTCAATAATACGTTGATCTCGTCACTGAAGCTCTTGGCTACAAAGCAGCCCCCAAATGTCCATTTAATTTTTGGTTCAAATTTATTTGTCATGTTTATTTTTGTCGTTTGTCCAACCTTCAACAAATGGAGTCCTTGAGAGTTAAAACTTTCCCCATGTATTAGGTGTTTTCCACCTTAGAATTTACACATCTCATAAATAATGGTTAAGAGCGTAAATCCAATTAAGTTGGCAATGCATTGGCAAAGCGTATGTAATACGATTTTAGAAGAGAGTAAGCTTAAAAGAGCATAGGCTTCAGTCTTTTTAGGTTCTTTTAGCTTGTATATTGTTTAAGTGTGCCTCAACTGCCTAAAAATAAATTCAGGAGCGGGTCATGCATGGATTCCTGTTGTATAAGTTTAATGGTTTGTTGGTAAGTTGTGTTTACCGAGCAAAGAGCAGGAAAACCTGAAAATGTTGGTTTCATAGCAGACCAATTTTGATTCTCTCCATTATCATTTTGACGCACAATGCACATCATTGCAAATGCTATAATGCCTGAGGGGGTATCAGTAAATATATTTTAATTCGAGAAAGAATTAAAATTTCGTTTCAAAATGGTCGAATCAGTCGATATGTTTTCATTTTCTAGGAGACCGAAATGAATCAGTGATAAAATTGAAATTTTAATATTTCGAGGTGTTTCATAATATTTTGAGGTGTTTTGGAATGTTCAAGGTGTTTCAAGATATTTTGGTATATTTTGATCAATGTTTTAGAAAAAAATTCTCAACTTTTTTTTTCATTTCCAGTCTATTTTCGAAATCCAGACCAAAAAAAAAGTCTATTTTCGAATTTCGAAATGTTTCTATTTCCTAGGTGACTGAAACAATGTACCGAAATGAAAATTTGATCCTTGACTTTGAGTATGTCATAATGTTTCATAAAATAATTTGAGTTGGTTTTTTGTTTTAATGTAAACCTGCTTCTGGGTGTAGTCTTCACACAATTCTATTTCAATGTGCTCATGCACCTGGTAACAGTAGAAATGCAGAGAGTGTCCTCTATATTTGTTTGAGTGATTACCATTAATCTGCACCATGACTCTTTAATTGACTGTTCAATTTTTGCAGTCGTGTGCTCATAATGGTCTTTTCCTAGGGTGCTTTCCATCTAAACAGTCAATTTGGAGCTATTCAAAAAGTTGTAAGTCAATACCTACTTAGCATATAGTTTGCCATTACAAGGCTTCTTGTGGAATGTTCTAATGTAACCTCACTCTTGAAATCCGACAACTATAAGACATGATAAACTTGTGAGTAGGACGCAACGTTTGTTTTGCTATAACTAGTATGTTGGACCCTCAGTTATTCTCCTTTGTGGATCACATTATATGGCATCCTCTTGTGCAATCATTTTTTTTTAGGGGTTTTTTTTTTTTTGGGGGGGGGGGGG